CTGTTTTTAAAAATATTGTATTATCACTGATATAGTATGATCGTTTCTACTCTTTTACTCTAAAAACAATCAGGCCAGGCGCGGTGGCTCACACCTGTAGCCCTAGCACTTTGGGAGGCCAAGGTGGGTGGATTGCCTGAGCTTAGGAGTTCAAAACTAGCCTGGGCAACATGATTAAAACCCAGCTCTACTAAAATACAAAAAATTAGCCACGCGTGGTGGCGTGTGCCTGTAGTCCCAGCTACTAGGGAGGCTGAGGCAGGAGAATACTTGAGCCCATGAAGCAGAGGTTGTATGAGCTGAATTTGCACCACTGCACTCCAGCCTGGGACAGAGCAAGACTCCGTCTCTAAAACAACAGCAACAAAGCGCACATACGTGCACACACACACACACACACACCAAACAAAAATCGATTAGTTTGTTAAAACATGTTTATATATAAATCTAAAGTTACATAATTTCAACATTTTTATGGCTTTTTAAAATTGCAGTAGTTTGGGGGGAAGAGGTAATGTTTGGTTATATGGATAAGTTCTTCAGTGTGATTTCTGAGATTTTGGTGCACCTATCACCCAAGCAGTGTACACTGAACCTGATGTTTAGTCTTTTATACCTCACTTCACCTCCCACGTGATGCTTGCTTTTGTGAATTCATCATAGATGGCTTTTATTACCTTGAGGAATGTCCCATCTATGCCAATTTTGCTGAGAGTTTTAGTCATAAAAGGATGCTGGATTTTGTCAAATGCTTTTTTTGTGGTTATTGAGATAATCATGTGGGTTTTGTTTTTAATTCTATTATGTGGTGTATCACGTTTATTGACTTGCCTATGTTAAACCATTCCTGCATCCCTGGCATGAAACCCATCTGATCATGGTGGATTATCTTTTTGATGGATGCTGTTGGATTCAGTTAGCTAGTATTTTGTTGACGATTTTTGCATCTATGTTCATCAGTGATACTGGTTTGTAGTTTTATTTTTGTTATGTCCCTTTCTGGTTTTGGTATTAGGGTGATACTGGCTTCATGGAATGATTTAGGGAGGATGCCCTCTTTCTCTGTCTTGTGGAATAGTGTCAATAGAATCAGTACTAGTTCTTCTTTGAATTTCTGACAGAATTGGGCTGTGAATCTGTCTGGTCCTGGACTTTTTTTTTTTTGGTACTTTTAAAATTGCCATTTCAGTCTTGCTGCTTCTTACTAGGTTGTATATTTCCAGGAATTTATTCATCTCTTCTATGTTTTTTAGTTTATGTGTGTTGAGGTATTTATATTGTTCATAGTAGCCTTGAATGATCTTTTGTGTTTCTGTAGTATTGGTTGTAATATCACCCATTTCATTTCCAATTGAGCTTATTTGGATCCTCTCTTTTCTTGGTTAATCATGTTAATGATCTATCAATTTTATTTATCTTTTCAAAGAACTGGCTCTTTGTTTCACTTTCATTTAGTTCTGCTCTGATCTTTGTTATTTCTTTTCTTCTGCTTGGTTTGGGTTTGGTTTGTTCTTTTCTCTCTAGCTCCTTGCGGTGTGACATTGGGTTGTCTATTTTTGCTCTTTCAGATGTTTTGATGTAGACATTTAATGCTATGTGCTTTCCTCTTAGCACTGCCTTTGCCGTATCCTAGAGGTTTTGATAGGTGTGTCACTATTATTGTTCAGTTCAAAGAACTTTTAATTTCTATCTTGATTTCTTTATTAACTGAAAGATTATTCAGGAGTAGGTTACTTAATTTCCATGTATTTGTATGCTTTTGAAGGTTCCTTTTGGAATTAATTTGTAATTTTATTCCACTGTGGTCTGAGAGAGTACTTGATATAATTTTGATTTCCTTAAATTTATTGAAAATTGTTTTATGGCCTGTCATATGGTCTGTCTTGGAGAATGTTCCATATGCTAATGAAAAGAATGTATATTTTGTAGTTGTTGGGTAGAATGTTCTGTAAATATCTTCTAAGTCCATTTGTTCTAGGGTATAGTTTAAATTCATTGTTTCTTTGTTGACTTTCTGTCTTGATGACCCCTCTAGTGTGGTTAGTAGAGTATTGAAGTCCCCTACAATTATTGTGTTACCATCTATCTCAAATTTTAGGTCTAGTTGTAGTTGTTTTATAAATTTGGTAGCTCCCGTGTTAGGTGCATGGACTAATCCTTTTAAAATTATACATTACCCTTTCTTCTCTTTTTAACGGTTTTTGCTTTAAAGTCTGTTTTGTCTGATATACGAGTAGCTACTCCTGCTTGCTTTTGGTTTCCATTTGCATGGATTATCTTTTTCTATTCCTTTATTTTGAGTTTATGTGAGTAAATGTGAGTCTTAGGTAAGTCTCTTGAAGACAGCAGATACTTGGCTGCTGGATTTTTATTCATTCTGCTATTCTGTGTCTTTTAAGTGGAGCATTTAGGCTACTTACATTCAATGTTAGTATTGAAATGTGAGGCACTGCTCTATTCATTATGCTGGTTGTTGCCTGAATACCTTTGTTTTTCCTTAAATTGTGTTGTTGTTTTATAGGTCCCATGATATTTATGATTTAAGGAGATTCTGTTTTGGTGTATTTCAAGGCTTTATTTCAAGATTCAGAACTCCTTTTATGATTTCTTGTAGTGCTGGCTTGGCAGCAGCCAACTCTCTCCACATTTAGTCTTCTGAAAAACACTTTATCTCTCCTTAATTTATGAAGCTTAGTTTCACTGGATGCAAAATTCTTGGGTGATAGTTATTTTCTTTAGGGAGGCTAAAAATAGGACCCCTTCTGGCTTGCAGGCTTTCTGCTGATAAATCTGCTGTAGATTTTCCCTTATAGGTTGCCTACTGCTTTTGCCTCACAACTTTAAAGATTGTTTTCTTCATTTTGATTTTAGATAACTTGATGAGTGACTGCATGCCTACCTGTTGATCTTTTTGGGATGAATTTCCCAGATGTTCTTTGAGCTTCTTGTATTTGGATGTCTAGATTTTCAGTGAAACCATGGAAGTTTTCCTCAATATTTTTTCAAATAAATTTTCCAAACTTTTGGATTTCTGTTCTTCCTCAGAAACATGAATTATTCTTAGATTTGATTGTTTAACATAATCCCAAATTTCTTGGAGGGTGTTTTTTTTAATTATTCTTTTTTCTTTGTCTTTGTCAGATTGGGTTAGTTAGAAAGCCTTGTCTTCAACCTCTGAAGTTTTTTTTCTATTTTCTTGATTCTCTTGAAACTTTCCAGTGTATTTTGCATTTCTCTAAGTGTGTCTTTCATTTCCAGAAGTTGCAATTGTCTTTTCTTTATGATATCTATTTCTCTGAATACTTTTTCATTTATATCCTATATATTTTTTTAATTTTTTTTTTTTTTTTTTTTTGAGATGAGCCCTACCTCTGTCACCCAGGCTGGTGTGTAGTGGTGTGACCTTAGGTCACTGCAACCTCTGCCTCCCAGGCTCTAGCAGTATTCCCGTCTCAGTCTCCCAAGTATCTGGGGCCACAGGTGCATTCTACCATTTCCAGCTAATATTTTGAATTTTAAGTAGAGATGGGGTTTTGCCATGTTGCCCAGGCAGGTTTCAAATTCCTGAGTTCAAATTATCCTTCTTCCTAGGCCTCCCAAAGTGCTGGGATTACAGGCATGAGCCACCCCATGCTTGGCCATTATTTAAATTTTTTAAAGTAGGTTTTTATCTTTCTCTGGTGCCTCCTTGAGTACCTTATTAATCAACCTTCTGAATTATTTATCTGGCAATTCAGATATTTCTTGTTGATTTGGATTGGATCCATTTCTGGAGAGGTAATGTGATATTTTGGGGATGTTATGGAACATTATTTTGTCATGTTACTAGAACTGCTTTCCTAGTTCCTTCTCATTTGAGTAGACTGTCCCTATGTTCTCATTGTTCAGCTCCCACTTATGAGTGAGAACGTGCGGTGTTTGTTTTTCTGTTCCTATGTTAGTTTGCTGAGGATGACGCTTTCCAGCTTCATCCATGTCCCTGCAAAGGACATTAACTCATTTTTTATGGCTGCATAGTATTCCATGGTGTATATTGCCACATTTTCTGTATCCAGTCTGTCATTGATGGGCATTTGGGTTGGTTTCAAGTCTTTGCTATTGTAAATAGTATTGCAGTAAACACATGTGTGCATGTATCTTTAAAGTAGAATGATTTACAGTCCTTTGGGTATATACCCAGTAACGGGATTTCTGGGTCAAATGGTATTTTTGGTTCTATATCCTTGAGGAATTGCCATACTGTCTTCCACAATGGTTAGACTAATTGACACTCCCACCAACAGTGTAAAAGTGTTCCAATTTCTCCACATCCTTGCCAGCATCTGCTGTTTCCAGACTTTTTAATGATTGCCATTCTAACTGGTGTGAGATGGTATCTCATTGTGGTTTTGATTTGCATTTCTCTAATGACCAGTGATGATGAGCTTTTTTCCATATGTTTGTTGGCCACATAAATGTCTTCTTTTGAGAAGTGTCTGTTTGTATGCTTTGCCCACTTTTTTATGTGGTTGTTTGATTTTTTTCTTGTAAATTTGTTTAAGTTTCTTGTAAATTCTGCGTGTTAGCCCTTTGTCAGATGGATAGATTGAAAAAATTTTCTCCCATTCTTTAGATTGCCCGTTCACTCTGATGATAGTTTCTTTTGCTGCCCAAAGTAAATGATAGATTCAATGCTATTCCTATCAAGCTACCGTTGACTTTCTTCATAGAACTAGAAAAAACTACTTTAAATTTCATAGGAACCAAAAAAGAGTCCATATAGCCAAGACAATCCTAAGCAAAAAGAACAAAGCTAGAGGTATTAAAGATTTAAAGACTATTATTTTCAGAATAATAAGAATTTTAGAAGCACTTGAATTTTTATCATTTAAGGTGAAATGAACTATTTTGCTTAAGAGCAACTCATCTGTGAATATAAAGATATAAAACTCTATGCAGAAATTTCAATATCTATTACTAATTCCTAACACTTGCGTTATCTGTTGCTTTTTTCTCTTTAGGACATCCAGGCAGAAATCGACGCCCACAATGACATATTTAAAAGCATTGATGGAAACAGGCAGAAGATGGTAAAAGCTTTGGGAAATTCTGAAGAGGCTACTATGCTTCAACATCGACTGGATGATATGAACCAAAGATGGAATGACTTAAAAGCAAAATCTGCCAGCATCAGGTCAGAATAGTCAATGTCAAAATAAAAATAATGGAGTGGAGGGGATAGATACTTGTGATTTTTTTATATCAGAAAGAGAAAGTTTATCATAAATAGTTTAAGATTTAAATGCCAACCCTGCTTCCTTGAGTTATACATATCAAGCTCTGTTTATGTCCAATACTCTCTACCAACTGTGCTAGACTATTCAGAAATGTTCATTTATTTTAAACCTAACAATACTAGTAATAATACTGTTAGCAACATCTGCTAATTACTGAGTGTTTACCTTGACTAAGTATTTGTTAGAATCTTTACAAATGTTACTTTTTAAATAATCAATAAATCCTAGTAAGGTGGGCAGCAAAGTTATTTCTTCTATGAAGAAACAGAGGTTTAGTGAATATAAGGAACTTGCCAAGTTTTGGGGTTAAGAAGTGCCAAGCCAGAATTTGAATCTAGATCTTTTTGACTCTTGGCAGTGAACATGTTTTGCTTAATCATGCTGTTTGTATGCTTCATTTGAAGATGTATTTATAGATATTAAATATCTCTTATGGACACTACAATGGAAAATTGATGATTCATGTCTGCATTTGGAGAGAGTAAAATTAAATAAGGATGAACCTTAGGACCAGAATTCTGACTAGGAAATGACCTTGAAAATTACCCAGAGTGACAGAATGATTAGTGTTATTGGGGTCAAGATACTTTAAGATCATATTTAATAGATAGTGGACAGGTCCTAATTATATACAATTTTAGTGAATACTGACTGAAAAATATGTTATTGGGCAAAAATCTAAAAGCGGAACATTGGTAGGAAGTTCTAGATCAGATTTTGTTTGGTTTTGTTTTGTTTTTACTGTGTATTATGTGGACAACCTTTAATCCAAATGGTCTTAAATTTGACTCTGACTTTACTATTTACTCTCTGATCTTGAACAAATTACTCAGCCTCTTTGAGCCTTAGATTTTTTATTTACAAAATCAGAATAGAAATATTTAACACTCATGATTGCTATGAAGATTGAACGGAATGATTTGATAGTTCCATAATCTATGTAAATCCTGCATCTAGTTAAATATTTTTATACATAAAGAAATTCAGTGGATCTGCCTCAACTGGTTTCCAGATTTAATGGAGAACAGAATCTTCAGTGATTACTTATCATGAATGAATTAAAAAACTTTTTTTCCTAAGATGTCCTGAAATGTTTTTATTCTTCAGGAGCTTAGAGAATGTAATTTGCAGTTCCTCTTACATGTGAGGAAGGGAGCAATCTAGCATGGAGATGGATGTCCTGTGTAAAGTTCCCATTGGAATATATAATAGGTCAGCATTGGCCAACTACTCTTAATAAGAGAAGAAAACTAGGGAGAACTATGTAGTGAGGGATTATACTTGCTTAAGACTTGAATTTTCAACTGCCTAGATCCCATCAGCTCGCAGCTGTCTATTCCTCATAAATATGAACAAAAATATTTAAAATGTTAATAGTGAAAAGCATTCACTGAACATCCAGCAAAGTCAACATCTATGCCAGCAATCTAAGAGTTCCAGAGCTGGTCCTAGTGAAGATGGTATGCATGGTGCAGGGATTTCCAGAGTTTAGAGAGTGACTTCTTTAGGAAGAAACATTTAATGAAGACCTATAAACAGATCATTCTAAGTAAAAAGTTACAGACAAAAAATTTTTGCTTTTTCTTGGGAGAGTTACTGCCTAAGTCTATCATGACACATTTTATTTAACCTGGAAAGAAAGAACTTATAAACTGTAGTTGGAATATTATGTAATAAGTAAGTAAATGTTATTTTTAGAAGAAGGGAGAATATGCTTGTGCCTGTGGACTTTTGCATTAAGGTCGATCAGACATTCCAGTAAAACGTGATAATAAATTAATGTGATAATGAATTAAAATAACTTTTAGTTTGATAATTCACCTCAAGAGATTCAAGCACTTATTCAATCATGTAATAAAAACTTATTTCTATACTCAAGGCATTGCTATTAATAAGGTATAGTCCTTAACCATAGAGGTTCACAAATCTGTTCAGGTTAAGGTAAAGCCCAAAGCAGAGAGTGGTTACCCTTACTTCAGATCATCAAAAAAAGCTTCATAAAAGAGGTTATTCCCTTGCTGAGCCTCGAAACATATGTATTCTCCAGATGGACTAGGTGATGACTGAGGAAGGGTAACTAAGCTGGGGGCTTGAAATAACACGAGGTTTATATGAAAATCAATACATTAAGTCCAGTTGAGAATACAATTTGCTGCTGGTATCGTGGAGAAAAGAAGATGGCTAACGAAAAAGGTAGAGAGAGAGGTAAGAGATAAATCATGCATACCTATGTGTAACCAAGCTCCATTCCACTGTGGATGGAATTTTGAGGCTTTTGAGTAACATGATTAGGTTTGCACTTTGGAAGAATCCTCACACAATGATGGAGGATGCCTTGAATGAGCTTGTTCTGAAGAGGGGAGACCTGGTAACAGACAGTTTCAGCATCTAGGAAAGGGAAGCGAGATTGAGTAGACAATTAGTTCACATTGATAAGGCACTGGTGAAACATCCAGGAAAAGATAACCGAAGTCATTAGAGGGACATTTGCTCTTCAAAAGAGAGCAGTAGATGAAATAGAAAGATGGGATGGGGGTGTCCAGGTACAGGTGGCAGGTAACCATTGTGAGTTAGTTTTTAGAGGGTGAGAACATTAGACTAGGGCAAAGCAAAGAATCCCAGGAAACTCTAATATATAATAAATGGGTGAAGGAGAGGGAAGCAGCAAGGAAACTGAGAAGTCTCTATCCTGAAGAGGGATGAGATCCAGGAGAGAATGTTGTCAGGAGCCAAGGAAAGAGGGATTTCTAAAAGAAGGGCCTAAGTTATGGTGTCAGCTGCTTGAGGAAGTGGAGTAAGATGAGGCCTGCAAAGTCTGGGAGCAATTAGAAGGGCTTTAGTGGCCTTTTGCCAGGGGATTTTATTTTTCTGTTGCAGGAGAAATCTAATTGTAGAGGACTAAAGAGACAGCTGGGGAGGTGAGGACGTGGAAATAGAACCGAGTCTACTCAGTCTAGTTATCTCAAGGAACTCATCTGTGAAGGGAAGAGGAGGGGAGAATGCATTTTCTGTGTTATTATGGTTGACAGTATTGCAGGTTTATAACAGCTGGCAGTTGTATCAGTATCTATATTGACCTGTCTGTGCTTTTACATAGATTAAGTATGGTTTAACATTTTTTTTAATTTTATTTTTAATTTTTGTGGGCATATAGTATATGTATATGTTCATGGAGTACATGGGCTATTTTGGTATAAGCATGCAATGCATAATAATCACATCATGGAAAATGTGCTGTCCATCCCCTCAAGCATTTATCCTTTGTGTTACAAACAATTCACCTATACTTTTTTAGTTATTTTAAAATGTACTGTTAAGTTATTATTGACTATAATCACCTTGTTTTGCTATCAAATACTGGATCTTATTCATTCTTTCTATTTTTTTTTGTACTTATTATCCATCTCCATTTTCTCCCCATCACCCCTCTGCCCCACCAACTACCCTTCCCAGCCTCTGGTAACCATCCTCCTACTCTCTATCTCCATGAGTTCAATTGTTTTGATGTTCCCAAAATAACTGAGAACATTCAATGTTTGTCTTTCTGTGTCTGGCTTATTTCACTTAACATAATGATCCTCACTTCCATCCACATTGTTGCAAATGACAGAACGGTGAAATAGTACTCCATTGTGTATACATTTTCTTTATCCATTTATCTGTGGATGGACAGTTAGGTTGCTTCTAAATCTTGGCTATTATGAACAGTGCTGCCACAAACATGGGAATGCAGATATCTCTGTGATATGCTGATTTCTTTTCTTTTGGGTATAAACCCAGCAGTGGGATTGCTGGATCATATGGTAGCCCTATTTTTGGTTTTTTGAGGAACCTCCCAACTGTTCCCCATAGTGTTTGCATTAGCTTACATTCCCACCAACAATTCACAGGGGTTCCTTTTTCTCCGCATGCTAGACAGCATTTGTTATTGCCTGACTTTTGGATAAAAGCCATTTTTACTAGATTAGATAAGTTTGACTAAAGACATAAATGAACTTTTTCATTTTTATATTTCAAAAATGAGTGAAATGTAAAATTAAAATAGCATATTTGTTATTTCTTGGATATTTATAAAAAATAAAATGGTTTGTTATTTAATTTAGCCTCTACATTTGCCTAAAATAGTGGCACATGGTATGTGCTCAATAATTGTTAGCTATTATTATTCTCATTGATTACCTCTTAGGCACTCATTTAAAAGACATTGGAATTCTCTCTACCCTATGTTTTTCTCTCACTAATCACTATTGTTGGGGATTTCTGAGAACATCTTCCAAGCAGCTTTCCCCTTTGCTGGCTGGATTCTGAACAAGGATGCAACAAAGTGTGCTCAAGGGGCATTCATCATGTGGCCGATAGAGAACTCAAATGCTATGTAAATCACTGATAGTGTCCAGGTTAAAGGTGGTAACTTAGAGTGAAGTTGAGTGGGGCTGTCAACCGAACCCCAGAGTGAGGCAGACTCACCAGCAGTCACTGGTCAAGGTTCTCAAGTGAGAAACCGTACATGGAAGAGTAGAAAAGAACTCAATATCTACATGGCCTGTTGTCAAGAGAACCAAATAGGCTGAGCTAAGCATGCCCAATTATTCTCCCTGAATTTACAGATCAGATTCGTCACTTCACCTCTGCAGAGACTTGGTGAGTTTCAAGAGTGGAGAAGAGACCAGTGTGTGCTTAGTGAGAAAATCCCTCCTCAAGGAGTAGGAGGAGTGTTTTCATAACAAATCCATAGAGGCCGTCCAGCTCTTAGGCTCCTGGCTCCTTCATTCCCTGTTGAAATTGATCATTGTGGAGACACTGTTCAGTGCTGCTTCTCTGTTCTTTCTTCTCATTTCTTTTATTTTCATTCATTAATTCATTCATTCATTCTTTTTTTGAGACAGAGTCTCACTCT